TTTTCGCTGCTTTCATCTGCGCCGCCTCGAGTTCTTTCACTACCTTCTTATTTCCTTCCCATACTTCTCCGGCGTACTCTAGCGGCGGTACGATTACGCTCTTCAAAACCGTCAATTTGATGCGTGTATCGAGGTGCCGGTTGGGGCAGGGGGCGCGCCAATGCGGAGTGTCGCATTGTATCGAAACGTCAAGCTTGACCGTGTTGTCGCATCTACATTCCATTAATAGCGCCAATCTGCACACCAACCTCCAAGATATGGCACACCTTGCACCGCCATCGGCAGCTTGACCCCTACTCGGCTTGTTAGGGATACACCTTTGCCCATATACGTTCGGACGCATCACATTTGGAGGAAGGTAACCCAAGCTCGTGCGTCTGCCAATCGTTGCCAACCATAGCTGTAGATAGGAACATACACGGTCTGAGCGCTTCGCGTATTGGGCAAAGTAGTGTGATGCGAATAATAACTACGAGCTTTCAATTGTGTCCAAGATGTGCGTAAGGAGTCCGGAGACGAAGGAGCTTCTAAACGTGCCTTAAGGTTCCACAAGAGCTGCGCCCTCGTGAGCCTCGTGATGCCAAGCTCGCCCAGGCGGTCGCTGTTGATCATGGAGATCAGGTTGGCGCCGCTAACTCGCTTCTCAAACACCGCGGAAAGCGTCTGCCACACGAGAGAACGAACATGGGATATGAGAGGCGTGTACTAAATATGTTCAATCAATCATGTCGACAGGGGAGGGAACCGCATCGCAGATCAGGGCCGCGTAAACGAACAGATGTCGGTGTACCGATGCTATGAGAGTGGCACGGCAGGTGAAGCCGGTTCGACAACGGCGACAGACTACGAGGGTTGAGAGCCCCAGACGCTCCAGGAAAACAGCTAAGAGACGTCATGTTACTTTGTTTACCACCGGCGGTGCAGTAAGAGCTGCTGGTGACACTTACGTACAGTTGTACCTACGTAACTCAACCGGGACGAGTGTGCAGGTTTTGGGCAGCAACCCACGTATGTACTACTACAGACCATCGCCAAATATAGTAGGGTCCCTACATCGCATCCGACTGATAATGAAGAGTGAGAAAGCGAAAATGATGCAAGTTTAACTTTGTACCCCGAGCACCGTCGTCGTACCTCGAGCACAGAACACACGTGATGAGATGATGGTAGGCAGCCGTTGCTGCAAGCGGTGCAAAACGGAATCATTGTTGCCGAAAAACACCAAGGACTGCTTGTGAGCTCTGTTCTCCATAATATATGGACATCGTGTGAATGTTTTCATCTGTTGGCTTGTTGCGCTTCCTATACCCTCGCCACGAAGCAACTGCCACCCACACAGTCTCAGCTCGTATGTATGCATCTGGGGTTTTGTTCTGGGAACGGCATGAACTCTGTCGGAACGTCGAAGCGCTTCACTTAGAGCCGGTCCAGCAACACTGACTGCTGCCTGACTGCTTCCCTCCACGACTACAATGCTTCACCTTGGAACCTGCGATTCCAATGTACTGCGGCGCAACAGACACACAAGGAGCTCGAGTCTTACACACGGGATAGTAGGTGGTAATACGGGTGTTGATGCAATAGTATCCAGCCCCCAGCTCCACACGAAAACTTGCGCCTCAACGACAATCTACAGATCGTCGCTGCTGTGACCCATAGATTATGGGACCACATTTAGTACGTACATACCTGGGCACCGAACTGAAGCGCCTCCAGCCACCTACGGACCTCCGTGCATTCCCAGAATATCAGGCTCCGGGTAATTGGGATGACCGTCGCCGCGAAATCCCCACCACTGCTATCCCGCATCATTGCTGCCGTCTCTTTGCTGCCCTATGGACTCACGAGAATGGTCAAGGTCTTGGTACAACTGCTGTCAGTAGTATATGTTCGTCACAGTAGTGGAGCGGATCAAGGTCTCCCCTCGTGTCTTAGAACTTCGCAGGGACAGGATTCAAGATTGTTCCAGCACTATTACCGTGATGGAAAATCGCCTCTCCTAGTCCAGGGTGAAAGGAGCTGCTGATAGAAAGCACCGCCGGGAACCCGTGCTTCCGCGAGCGAGGTTAGATGCTGTTCGTTGTGTGTGTCGGTGTCATTGCACACAGCTCGTTCCAGCAAGGGGCTCCGCAAGATCGAAAAATGCGGACCATCTGCAGGATTCTGCCATATTTTTGTTGAGAAAAATAAAATCCAAACACACATATTTCTGTAGATGCAGATGGATTTGTTGTGTGATATTGAGAAAATAAAAGAACACAAAGAAACACTACCCACTCGAGACAAGACCACAGTCGAACGGGATGTGTTGAAGTCTTCACAGTGAATGGAGGGAAACCGGCTGGGTACTGGGCTTATTTGGAGTCTATTTAATTAAGCCTATACAAGGATATTTTCCATCAGTGATGCCAGCATTTTTTTTTTTGTCAAAGTTGCGTTGTGTTGTGTCCCTTGGGTTTTACGCCCCCTCCAATCCTGCTGAATATCAAAGTCAGTGTGTTGCTTTGTTGCTGATTATCTGCTCCCTGTCTCTTGCACTCGCCCAGTTGTCGGCCCATTTAGCAGGATAAGGGGCCCGCCTACGAAGCAGAAATGCAACGACTCTCGAACAGCGTAAGGTGTCCGCCTACGAAGCGAAGCCAATGCAACGACAGTTCATTTTCGATTCGTGGCCCAATGGTGTCCGCTTACGTCAACACAGGTACTACAAGCGGACGCCAAACGAAAGGAACCAATTTTCGATCAGTTTATAGTAAGGAAGCGGAAGCCGTGCAGTGCAACGACATTTTCGATTCGTCGCGCAATCGTAGGGTGTGCGCCTCTGTGTAGCGGAAGCCGAAAATTGACGGGGTTTTTGTCGATTCGTGGTCCACGAGTTAGTAGTAAAGTGTCCGCCTACGGAGGAGTTGAAGCCAAATTGCAACGATCAATGTACCACCCGTTGTACTGTAGGCTACAGCGGTAAGTAGGGCGTCCGCATGACAAGCAGGACACGAAGGCGAATCTGGTCAACGAACGAATGTTCAATTCAGTCGGCTTCCGCTTCTTTGATGGGCACCATATTCTGGTCGAAAGGCATTGCTTGCATAGAAAGGAAAAACATGTGAAGGAAAGAAAACGATGCACCTTAAAAAATTGGGAGAGCACTCGCCTGTAACGAAGTTTTGGATTTGGAGTCAGGATTCTTGGTGAGAAAGGACACCCGGTCCGCACGCAAATGATGTTGCCTGGAGTCCTTGCCCAGATAGGCTTCTCCTCGGGGCCTTCACTTCCGCTTACCATGAAAAGCACATACTTCAAGGTGCCGAGCATCGCCGCCTTACTGCTCTCTGTACCGCGCCAAAACTGGAATGCACACCGAGTCTCTGCATCATTAACAGCAAGTGCACTCCTTCTGTTTGTTTCTCAATAAACAGAATCGTTTGCTTGGCAACATGTCCCCGCGAGCACCGTGGCCGACCCCTCGTTGAACGCAATCACTTCTTGCTCCAAGAAAGATTCAAAAACACGTGACAAACTACCGTACGTGTTTCCCTTCGCTCGTTCTGCAATGTCTGCACAGAAACACACACCACAAACCTCCCCATGACACTGCCTCACGGGGTCCCAGACCATGGTAGCTTCAGAAGCACTTTGTGTTTTCAACCACAACGAGACAGACTGACGTGTTTTCATTGGTCAGCCGGTTAGCGCGGTCGATGCTAACAACAGACACACATTTGCGACCGATACGAAACAAACTCTCGCACTTTTTGATCGATTCTCGCAACATGATGCTACAAGGCCCGTGATTGGTTCGTATGGTGCCCAACGTGCCGTTTCGCCGCCTGATATTGTCCCTCCGAAGCGGAAGAAGAGCGTTTTCCCGAACTCGATCCGCCGCTGCCGCCGCTGGCCGCCGCCACTCGCGAAGATTGCGTGTCTCGGATCCCGACGCCGACGACGGAAAACGGAACAGTTTTTCGGCGGAGACGTGGAGATTTGAGAAGCTCGGCGAACCTCTCCTGGCCCTTCCACAAGAGGAGCAGGCTGCGAAGGGATTGGGCGGAAGCAGGGATCAGGCGGGGGGTCGACGAACATTAAGTTGACATGGACGTACACCATCGTGGTTTGGGCTTGGCAGCAGCGGCAGCAGCTCATACGGCTGAACCCGGAACACAAGCGAAGCAGACACGGCGGTGCAAGTATGCCCAACAAAAGTTGAAACTCACCGTCATCTCCAAGGGTAACAACGGGACACCCCCCAAACACGAGTAGCAACAATCCCCTTACCCCCAACAACAGCCGAAACACCAACAACAGCCAAGCTGACCCACCGGTTTGTTGCGGCGTGTGCCCAGCTTTCCCCCAGCGCCGGGACCAACGAGGACTCTCCGCGATGTCCGGCCATAACCTTCGTGGTCATCTGGTTCACGAGGACCACCTAGATTGTACGGTTTCGGGTTTTTTACATCAAAAATGGTGCCATTAGGGGGGGGAGCCGTTCCCCTGGTTCGCTTGGCGTGTACTCACCGTCAAAAACGCGATGCTACAGCAGTGGAAGTATCTCCTCCGGTGATTTTCATCAAAGACACGGTTTGAAAAAGACTACACGGAGAAAAAAGTTGTGGGTGAAGCGAAGGCACGAAGATCATAGTCTGCAAGAGGAAAACAGGCTCGATTCCGTACAACCATGTGTCGGACAGACTCGTTTGAGACACGTGCTGGTTTGCTTGCTGCTCTTGGTACACCACTGGTCATGCGTGGTTTCACCAGAGAGGGCCTCTGTCCTCTTTCCGAAGATAACGGCGGCGTTCGAATGATTTTTTCCGCCAGAGCTTTCGAAACGGTATTGTATGGAATTGCTTTCACTCGACACGCGTAGCTTATCCCGTCCCAAAGCAAGTAGGAATAGGGGTCAAGCCCTAACCCACAACCATACGAAAACAAGAAAATTAAATCGACGGCATCATTACGGGACCCAAATCCATCAGAGTTCATGAACAGCTGGTCATACTGCAAGGTCCTCGTTGAACGCCCGCGGGAAAAAACTTGTCTCCAGTAACAGCATTCCAGGTGGACAAATAAGAGGAACAGTATAGAGGGAATCGGTCCCCGCCAAAACACGAAACATCCCTACGCAAGACTTCATAACATGTCAGGACCTTCTGAGGGGGGTCACATGGATGGGTAGGGAGCCGTAGAGGACCATCGACCCGGTGGTCTAGTGGGTGACCTCGCAGCCTGCTGAGGGCCAGGTCATGGGTTCGAGTCCCGGCAGAGTGAGTTCTTTTCTCACTACATAAAGCCTGGTCTAGGATGAAAGCGACGCGCTGCAAAGCTCGTTGTTAGTAAACCATAATCGACTTCGTAAGTCGCGAGGGAAGGCATTGCTGTACAGTACTTCAGGCAGGAACCGCAGGAGGGGGTCCAGCCCCCCCCTCCTATGTGACCCCGGTTGGGTCGTCTAGCTAGTAGAAGTGGAGGATAGGGGCCAGGGGGGCAGACGACAAAGTCCAATGATGGGAGAAAAAAAAAAAATGATACTTCACGCGAAAAAAAATGCATCACGAGAATTGGCCGCGTGCAACCTACGGTGTATAACATGGAGGAACAGATGCACCGCTAACTAACGCTACGCCAACTTCGTTGCCGGAAGGTACTCCAAGAGCCCTCCCAGGACGGAGGCATGTGTAATGTGACAAGGCCACGAATGCCCCGTCGCAAAAGGGATGCGCGATAGAACTTTAGAATCACATCCCGCGAGCAGCACGTGATTTTTCCATTCGCCGTACCGTCCGTCTTACCGCTAGCGAGTGCGCCTGTGCGACCTCGTTCAGCTGCTGCGCCATCCTGCTTAGCATACGAGTGCGCACGCTCATGTCCTACACCCCCCACAAGGGACATTGGACACACGGGCCGGCAGCGGTCAAGAAGAGAGATTGGATTTTCGGTAGAGCATGGAAACAGGGAGCCGAAGAAAGCAAGCATGCGAGCTACCGTTGTAGATCGGATGCTTCGGCATACAATGGTATCAGGGAACTGAAGCAAGTAAGCAAGCTGTTGTACCGTTATAGATTGGATTCTTCGGCATACAGGGGCACCGAAGCAAGCAAGCGAGCTATTGTACCGTGGTCGTCGTGAAGCCACCGACGAGACACGTCACACGGCACCAAGTGCTTACGAAGATTGCAAAAAGACAGTGCCAAAAAACGTCATGTCCTCTGTGCGGTAGTCCTGGATGATGGCGGAACATTACTCATGATTCAAAGAAAAAGGAAAATATTGTTCAGTCGTGTGCTTGTGTTTGCGATTGTATCTGGTTGGGGTTAGAGGCTCGTTGGCTTTTGCATGGACAAGAAGCTTTCCGAAGCAGGCTCTTAGGCTGGTCTTACTCCCAAAGGAAAGGGGCAGCAACAATAAGCAAATCATTTCTCTGAATACTGAATACTCTGTGGACAACAAAACGAACAAACGCTTAAGCTGTAGTATGCAAGCCACCCCAAAAAGAGGGCTGTTGATTCTTACGTCCGCGTGCACCCACGTGGAAATCTATACCGCATATTTCAGAACATCTGCACCTCTACTGACTGTCTTCCGAACGAACAGCATGCCTTGAATACGTTGCGGCGAAACGCACCTGGCTGGCACAATAGCGACAAACCCTGTCAATCACTGCCTTTATTCACGCCACACGGCAGCGACGAAAGAAGGTTTCGGCACCACATGGGGTCCAACGATTTTTCTGTACCCACGTTCTCCCTCTCCTATTGTAGCAGGTGTTAGATTCCTTCTACATGAACAAAAATACAACCCCAACCATACCGGACCAAACAAATGCCAATGCTTTCCATCACCATGCAATGCCACAGCGCACCTGGAAGGCGTGTCGGAAGTGAAACGCCACACTGTCCATCACCACAAGCTTCACCTCCGGGTGTGCTACCAGGAACTCCGGAAGGGTTCGCACCTAAACGTCCGGCCGGAGAAGGCGAGGGCGAGGGGGCCGGGCCGTGGTCGTGCCAGGATCAAAGGGAGATTTGTGTTTCACAAACTTTTGTCCGCGAGGCTCTAGATGGGTTATCATGCGCCGCAGCACAAACTACACCACCACGAGGCCCTGGATGTGCTATCGTACACCTCATCATAAATATTGCCCGCGAGGCTCAGGATATGTGTTATCGTGCAACTCAGCACAAACTATTGCCGTCAGGCTCTGGATAGGCTATCGTGTACCTCATCACAAACTATTGCCATGAGGCTCTAGAAATGCTATCGTTTATCTCATGATACATATTCCCGCGAGGACCTCGATGGGTTCTTGTGTAACTCTGCACAAGCCATTGCCGCCAGTCTCAAGGGGTTATGGCGCATCTCAGTTTGGGCAGGAGGGAGCACCGCCCTGATCCCCACCAAAGCCAACTCCAACGAACATACGTATGCTGGTCGAGACGGTGGCATTCACCCCATTCTTTTACGAACTGGACCACGATTTGCGGGGATGCTTTGACCGGCATCTTCGATACAGCACACTCCACTGGCCCGGTATATATCTATGTACAATTTCGACGTTTTGCGTGCTTCGGGACATGTTCGCTCGCGGCAGCTAAATAGTCTTCCTCGCGTTTCCTTCTCGGTGGCATCCAGGGGGATCGTCGGTACATTACCGCGCACGCCCGAGGGTCGCCAGTACATCCGTGGTCCGTGCAATCGACGCCAAAAGTCGGAGGCGACTCGCTCTATACCCCGGGGGTGCCTACCGCGCCACAAAAAATTAACAGACGGCGGGAAAAAGCTCGACCTATGATAGGAGGACTCATGAGGCACTTTCCTGGCAAAGATGCGCACGGACAGCGCCAACCACATAGCTCTCACCGCGGCCAACTGCTCGGCGTGGTCGTGTAACCGCCAGACGTGAATGCCGCCAAGAAACGCCTCCTGCGTCGGAACCGCCGACTCAAGGTCTGGAACTCCTTGCTTGCGTTTGTTCTAGGGGGAGAGGGTACAAGAAACGGATGGGGCGCTGGGGTACGGAGTCTTGTGGCAATGCACGGCATGCGGGACAGTAGCAAAAGAACAGTAGTGAAGAGAAGCACAGCTGTGTGCGTGACACAGACCTTCTCAGCATGTAAGCACTGCGGGAACAGCATCATAAGAAGTACGTGGTGTCCACCGACATCTACTTGTACAATTGTAACGCAACTCTTCTTACGGTACGCTACAACTTCCGTAGTCTAGCGCGTACTGGGGTCCGTCGCGCCCAGACTACTGCGTAGTCCAGCAGTACCAAGTGTCGAACGTCTGCATGAAACGCAGCCCCACTCTGGCCAAACACAACCCGCGACGAAAACCACATACGAAGAGGCAAACACGTACGCACCCTAGCGATTTTTTGCAAGTGTTCCACCACCGCCGAGCACAGCTGGGACAGCCTCTCCACGGTAAGGCTTCCTTCGGTGTCTATGTACAGGGCACCGCCGCCGACGCCGCCGAACTGGTGCGGGATCTGCACGTCTACCGCCAGCTGCATGCCGAACTGGGTTTTGCCCACGCCCGGGGTTCCGCAAACCTTGCGGAAGCGTGTTTTGTAAACAGGGAAAACGAGCATGGGGGCGGGGAAACAGTTTGTGCTGGTACGCTCTTATCCCAACAATCGATCGCGAAATTTTGCAACGTCGGGCAGGCGTTTGCCCACCTGGAGAGTTCCGCAAACTGTTTAGGACTGGATCTAGGGGACATGATTGGCTGCATTGCGTAGTGGTCGTAGCCACGAGGCAAAGGGGGTATTCTAGTCTTGGCAACAATTGAGGTGCTGGTAAATGGTCGTCCGCGAAGCCCAGCCAATCGACACGAACGAACACCGAGTAAGTACCGTGGGTGTTTCCTAAAAACAAAGGAGTCATAGGCGAAAAATGATCGCTGCTCGGTTTGTGTGATAGAGCAAGCGGACAACACCGTCATAACCCGTACCGCCACAGCAAGCACATCATTGACGGGTCTGCCTCCGACCAACCTCCGTCAGCTCTCCCCTGGGCANGTCATTAGACCATTGAACTCGCATCCCTACAAAGCCGGAACGGAGCACGCCGGGCTCTCACCGGACCAGGCTCTTACACCACCAAGCGCGAAGCGCCGTGAGGTATTCGGCATCTTGTGCTTACTTCCGGATGACAGCTGCGTATGACTTAATTTATTTTCTGGTGCTTTCACTTCCAGACTCCAGAGACATTTGTGAGCACTGTGGAACTGCCTCGAGGGTGCTTGACCAATTTAACACAACGTGGTGCGATAATCCTCTTCGCGCGGAGTGAGGGTTCTCAACTCTGCACAACATAATCTACTCGACCACCATTCATGGTTACCGCCAAAAAAAAAATAAAGGCAAAAAAGTGGTAACCTGGTTGCCGAGCTCACGAAGTGATCGGTTTGTTTTACAACATCGCTACCAAGCGACGAAAACCCAACCCCGATGGCAAACACCGG